TATTTAAGCGTCCTTTGGGTTAAGTCTGTCCATTTCCAACATGGAACCCAGCGCCATGGGAAGGGTTTCAAGTTTCGATTCGACTCAGTTGCAACTCAGGTTCTATTCCAATACACACTGAAATTAATTTGGACAAAATTAAAAGCAGTGACATTAGCTCTTGGAAACTAGAAACCCAGAGCCTGTAAAAGATCGTTGAGCCCGGAAACAATCCCAAATGCAAGGGTTGGCTCAAAGTGATCACGGGTTCATTTATGGGTTTGGAGACATTATATTAGTATTTATAGTATACGTTTTACAGTTTATTTAATATGTAGATTTTAGGTCGTCCTGGACAGATTCAAATATGTATTCCTCAAATAGGAGATATAGTTAACTATTTCATGATGGAACTCGGAAGGAATTATATTTAGTAACAATGTTGGTAATGCTCAATTTGTAATTGTCTTTTAAAGGCTTTCAATTCTACGTTTAATAAAATTGAATTGTGATTTGGAAGTGATTATTTTACCCTCACTATTTGCTTTGAAACACTCATCTCTTTGAGTGTTGTTTGAGTTGAGAGAAAAGCAATATCACCAAGTTCACTCTAGTTTTCGGGTGTACGAATTCTTGGAGAGCCGTGTTAATCTCGGAGGTTGTTCGTCATTGTAGCGATTACACACATTGGGGCTAATTCGCTTCTAAGGCAGTGGATTACCACGACACGATTATCATTTTGATTGATTATTTTATTTAATATTTTCAATCAGTGCTAACGTCTCGTTTTGCAGCAGTCTATTTTTCTAACAATTTAGAAGCGAATTCCAAATATTGTTGCAAAACTCATTCGAACAACTAATGACCAAGTTGTTGAACTTGGTTGAGAATACTGATGGTGTTCAGAAATATTCGTAAAGTGAATTTCAAAATGGTTGAAAGCAAATGAGAAGTCTCATTGGTAGGCTGGAAAATTTCGTAAGTTACAAATGATGCTATTATTAAAGGTAATAAATTATATCCTTTAAAATTAAGTATACGTTTCCTAGTTTTAATTGAATTTTATAATATCCTTTAAAGCAAATTGATAAACGTTTGACCACATAGAATTGCTGTTAAAACATTAAAACAATCGAATTGTAAATATGTTTTAAAATGTTTCATGGATGCAATGAAAGAAATCTTTCTTATTAAATGGTTTTTTTAAAGGAAGTTTAAAACCATCTTAAATGGTTAGTTAAAGCCAGACTGTTAGAAATTACAATTTGGTGGTAAAGAAAAAAAATCGGTACACGTTTATTGTTTCAATAAACGTTAACATGATGGTTAATTGCTTATTTATAATCATTCCACGATAAAATGGTGGTTATAATAATTATGAAATTGTTCATTTTATAATTATTTATTTAGCTGTTATGATTTATGAGATTAGTGAAGAACCATGAATAATGAAACGTTTGATTAAAATCAAATGCAAGAGGTTTGGTTTAAAAAAACGATATTTGTAAATTATGGTATTAAATACATTTCATGGTTTCTTCGGTTGTGATGGTCTCAATGAAAATGCTTTGTAATGATTGATGTGAAGAAACCGAAAGCATATTTATTATTTTGATGAAGGAAACTACTTTATATTTTAATGCCTAATAATGCATGAGATTAATGCATATGAATGGAATGAAAACGGTTGATATGAATTATTTTGAAACTTATATGCTATAATCAAGAAGTGGCATGATTATAATGCTATGAGCATTAATTAACATTTATAAGTTGAAAATAAATGTCAATTATCTTGTCGTACTAATAATTTCTTTTGAGAAATTTATAAAGACAACAAAATGATTGCAATTTTAGAGAATCATGAAGATGATGATGTTGAACGAGAAGATTCTTCAAACCGAATAGTGGTTAAATTCGAATTTGATCTCCACAATCTACTAAAGATAATGAACAAAAATTTTAAAGATAAGAATCTTATTACTATCAGTAGATTATTTTAATTTTATTATTGTTAGTAAATTATTTTTGAGACTAACCATTTATTATTATCTTCATTTGAATTTAGAAGATTCAAAAGAGATGGTACATATGAAGTGACAGTCACGATAGACTTTGGGGTCATGCTGATTAAAGATGATGATGCAAAGATTGAAGTTGCACGTATAATGAGAATGAACAAGTCTATTTGGGGTTATATTCTACCTACGAGGTCAGATTATTTAGACTTATTGCATAATAATTCATGCTTAGAATGATACATGAATTAGTTTAAATGAGTCTTTAAGTTAGTCTTTTAAACTTAGTGGAAATATTGTGAAATGAGTTAAACTACTCGTTAAGACTAAAGTAGTGAAAAACTACTAAGATTAAGAATAAGGTAGTAGTGAGCCCGAAATATATATGCTTAATAAGATACTATTGTGATTAAAATTATCAAGCATAATTCTTTAAGAAGCCTTAAGAAAGAGAAAATCTATAAATAATTTATTGGAAAGTAGTGTGATGAGTATGAAAGTGCATGTCTAGGATTGGTTCGGTGAAGACTTGGTACTTAAGCGTGCCTAGTGCACCACTTCTTTTTCATAGAAACCTACCTGGTGCATTGTTCATTACTATGCTCACTATTCTAATTTATAAAATACTATGATAAGATAAAAACTCTTAAAACTTAGTGCAGAAGTTAAAAGAGTATAGAATAATTTGGTTGAGTGAAATACCAAACTTAGTCATAGTAAATAACATATGTGATGGTTTCTTTAAGGCTAATAAGTTGAATATCATGAATGAAAATATGATAGACACTATTGCTACTAAAAGTGTGTTGTAGCTATTAAAAATCTCTTTGAGTGATTTTCCTAAGTGGAGGAAAGAAAAGAGATAATTTATTTCAGAATTTGTGCTGAAATCTCTTGTTTTAAACTTAAGATCATTTTTCCTGTTGTTAGGAAAAGTTTAAAACTCCCAATAAACTTTGTCATAATATTCATAATTTCCTAAACACTTCTTATGAAGAGTTAGGAAAAATCAAATTCCTTTTGAATGAGAAAAGGTCATGGAGGACTAAATGAGATATAAGTAATTTCATGATCATTTGAGAATAAAATAATGTATAAACAAGATTTGATTTTTTTTTAAAACATAATTTTACTGTGAAAACTAATAACAAACTTTACTCAATTATGAATGAGTAAATGTGTAAGAGAATTTGTTTACACGTTGTTCATGAGACTTATTGATTTATTTCTATCCTAAAAATGTTAGAAATGTGGGGGTGTCTTAAATGATGATCAAAGTGAGAGAGGAACCTAGTTGATCTGCTTACTAAAGGTTAAAGTCAGAAATTGGTTCTTGGTTCGTAGAGGGGGATGAGTTTAAAGCCCATTGGCTGAGGAATTCATGGTGGATACTCAACTTAGTTATGTAAGTTCAATGTGGTCAAACGAAGCCCTGGAAAGACTCATAGTGTACATTTCTACCCACATATCCCTATGACAAATAATGTAAATGCACAAGATGAGCTTAATTGCTCTTAATAAATTCATAGCCCATGCTTTGGGTGGTCTTAATGAATTTACTGATTTTGGCTAAATATCTATTCTTAATAAGTTCATAATCCAGAGTTTAGTGGGTAGTTCTAATCGCGAAGGACTAGATGAACTTACCACTTGAGAGGATGAGTTTTATTAAACTCTTAATGAATTCAAACCTAAGAGTTTGGGAGTTCCTAGTGGGAATGACATATTGAATGGGAGTTCCTAGTGAGAAGGACATATGGAATTCACCGAATAATGAGGTTGAATATTTATTCTTAATGATTTCTTATCCCAGAGTTTGGGTGGTTCATTTAAAAATGAACTTGAAGAAATTCACCTTACCTATTGTGAGGTTGAGCTATTGTAAAAGCTCTTAATTATTTCATAACTCATTTTGAGTGGTTTATGTTGATATAGACCTGATAAAATAACTTACGTAAGTGACAATGATTAGCCACCTTCTATGAAAAACGTTGGGCCATTTTTCTAGTACACTTATTAGAATCCTAAGGAAAGAGGGCTAAATATATATACGCTTTTGTATATACTCCTTGTAGACACATTGAAGACTTTGGTGGATGAATAGGTTAGTTGTGTGTTATGAGTTTACCCTTATCTAGAAAATTCAAGACTAGTTTCACTTATCTAAGAAAATGATTGCTCATCATCACTATGTACTAGTTCAAGATACGTTCACTCTCGCTATTGCTCTTCTCATGTTTTAACTTCATTCCTCTCATCTTTACGAAAGAATTCTTTCACATTAGTGGGGGAATGTTGGTAATGCTCAATTTGTAACTGTCTTTTAAAGGCTTTTAATTCTATGTTTAATAGAATTAAATTGTGATTTGGAAGTGACTATTTTACCCTAACTATTTAGCCTATAAATAGTAGATAATTTCATTCACTTTTAATATATCCCAAACAAATATTTGCTTTGAAACACTCCTCTTTTGAGTATTATTTGATTTGAGAGAATAGCAATACCACCAAGTTCACTCAAGTTTTCGGGTGTATGAATTCTTGGAGAGCAGTGTTAATCTCGGAGGGTTGTTCGTCAATTGTAACGATTACACACATCGAGACGAATTCGCTTCTAAAGCAATGAATTACCACTACACGGTTATCATTCTGGTTGATTATTTTATTTAATATTTTTCAGTCAATGCTAATGTCTCGTTTTGCAACCGTCTATTTTTCTAACAACAAGCACGTTCTTAAATAAACAATGTCACTTGTATCAGAATACAATTTCAGAGCTCTACAGGGAATAATATACTTCATGTTTCTTCCATAATCAATGAGCTTCCCATTCCAAATGATTTCCAACAAAACCTTGGGGGGATATGGCAAGTAAATAGAGGGCTTTTTGCGAGAATGTTCATGCAACTTTAACCTTCTTCGATTTCCAAGAGCTTCATTTATAGATAAAAAACTTGATCATTTTTTTCCAGGTATTTCTTATATGGAAATGATGGTGACTTTTTTTTATATATAACGCTAGCTATTCCAGATTTCGGACGGCCAAAGGCGTTTCCATATCGAAATATCCTCTTCCTTACAAAGTTTTCTGATTCCACCATAAAATCCATCTGCCTCGTTTCCTTCCTCTCGATGTTCTTTCCGATGAACTGTCGTGCGCCCCCACCTTGAGCCAGGGGTGTAGTGATTGAACTCCAACACCACTGTGTCTGCCATCATCACTTAAATGTTAGAAACCAGACAATGAATCAGACATCAATATCTATTATGCACTGTATATTCAATTCAATACTGAATGGAAGTCTTTTGCTCAGTCGAAAACTGAACTCTTGACATGTGCACAATCATAAAAGCAAGAAGCTTTTGCAATTATGCACCGAGGAATTCTTGTCTGCTTGAAGTACAGTTATCTTTTTATTGCTCTCAGCTTTTTTTCAAGTTGAAAATGATCACCAAAAGAGACCCTATCCTTTTCTCTTTATTTTGATGGAGAAAGGGATGGGAAATTAGTGCTTGTGTAAGTTGACTAGTGGGGCATTTAAGCTCAGTTGGCATTCGAACTTATGAAAAACATACAAGTGTAGAACATCCATTGCAGCCCCACATAGCTGACAGATTCCAAATAAGCAAAACAACCAGAGTCCATAGGAGACATTGGGTTCTTTCTGTGTGGTTGGCCATAAATATTCTGCTGAGATAGAGGTTATCCACATGCTGGTGGAAATTATGACATAATGAAAGCGATCCGTCTTTCGGGACCAACGCAACCGCACAACTTGTGAACCATGTATAGCAAGAAAAAAAAAACGAGATTCACGAAAATGACCTGCCCTAACTCTTTGTCCTCCATGAAAGTTAACTTTATATTCATCTCATCCACAATTTCCTAATGCCTTCTTTGAAGGAATATTAAGCAAATCTCAAAACAACTCCTTTAGTCTCTCTATAGGTAATTCTATGGAATATAGTACTAGAGTTTGTCATTTGAAAGAATAAAAGGCGAGATAAAACTTACTACTATTATGGCATCGGCAATAATTTTCATACCCTGCACATGATTCTAAGTGACCAACTACACCATACCACCAACCTGCAATTAAAGAATACTATACTTGAGTAAGAATCTTATTATAATAAAGTAATCTGTTGCTTAATTCTTTACAGAATTCTATAATTAAAAGCTTTCCTCCACTCATCAGAGAAATTAAAGATGATATCAGATGTCACCATGTGCCCTTTGGAGAGAAACACAACAAAACTTGTAAAATACTGCAAGGGAATGATACGGAAATGAACGAACCATATGGGAATTCTTGTTTCTTCTCCACTGAATCTCAATGTTATCACCAGGGTGTAGCTCATTCAAACAATCGGAAATATGAAGATCATGTGGTGAAGTGTCGAAAGGCGGCGCTCGGAGCCTTTCCCAAGGCACGTTTTTCTCTATGGCAGCTGCCCTCCTTCCATGTGGAGGGTACCTAAAATTATCAAACCAATCTAAGATTAGTTTCCCGAGTATTAGACCTACTTTGATCCTCTAAAGTGGAACATAATCATGTTAATCTCTTGGATTTTGTACAACTACATGACCAACATACCACCATCAAAATTATGTTGATGTCCTAAATTACCTGGCTAGGAAGGTATCAGTACGGGGTTCATAACTCAGTTCTGCATCATAACATGACAACATGAACCCAACATGGCCATTCTACAAAAAAAGAGCATAGCATAGCATTGAGGACCGAAACAAAATTAGAAAAAGCAGTGGTTAAATTGGTATAGCACATTTGGAACTTCATGAAAAATACCTCACGGTTATAGACCTGAGCAGGGAACCAGAACCTGCCGGTTTCAAGAGCAAGAAACCAGGACATAATTGAGTCATCCGGCAAAGAACACTGCTTACTACTATCATCAACCTTTGACTGAATCCACCAAGATGACCTAACAATTGATAAAATCCTCATCAAACCTTTCGGTTTCCCCTGTTTCAGTTGACTTGAATCCTTTCTTGTTTTTAAAGCAATATGCCATTGCCACTCTCTATAAGCAGCAGGACCAATAATTCTACCCCACTTGTTTTTCATGTGTTTTTCCCAGAGATGGTCACTGATACACCTACTTCTTAAAGAGCTGCAAACACCCGCCATGCTAGAAAGAGCAGCCGGTGGTAGCCGCTCGAGAATGCATTCCAAGACCAAATCTGGTAGGTCCAGAACTGACATGGCACTTTCTTCAACCTCCTCAAAGTTATCAACTTTTGAAGTGAAAGATATCTTTTTGAGAGACAATTCCGAAGGGATTTAGTGAAAAACCCAAGACCAAAACCAAGAACGTTTTGATCAACCTGGAACTGGGGAAAATGGAAACGTCTTTCCAAAACCAGCTAGACAACAATCTCACCTCAGTTGCCCATGGTGGGAGTGATTTCAAAGCTAAGGACTTTAAAAAGAAAATGAAGGGAAAACAACTGATGAAGAAGTAAAGTAGCATTCCAAAATATATGGAGGGGGGGGGGAAGAGAAGAAAAGGAGAATTCTTTTATGGGTACAAAATCAATGATGTCTGGGAAAACGTAAATTATTAATAGTAATGGGAAAACAAAGTGGAATGTTCAAAATTGCAACAGCAAAGACCTAACTTCAATGAAAAAAAATAAAAACTAAGATGAAAAGGGGTTTATTGGTTAATGATCGAAGCCCACCAAACCCCAAAAGGTGGGCCTTTCCTTGTCAATGACTAATCAAAACAAAGACTTGTAATAATATGAGAGAAAATTTTGTTTCTTTTTTCTTACTAAAATGAAAAATCCCTCCAAAATAGAGCTTAACGAGTACCACTGTAAACAAAGAGTTCTTCCCCTTTTTCTTTCTTTAATTGAAGAAAAGAATTGAACAAAGAGATCTATTGGTTGCATCCAGAAACAGTTGAAGGAAGGTGGTGGTGGGGTTACTGAGATCTGATATGGTTTCTGACACCCGGAAAATTATGCCCCGAAAAAAAATAATTGACGATAACAAGTCTAGATACAAAGACCCATATCCACAAAATCTCTCAGAAACTGTTCCTCTTAGTTCAAGAAACAAAACAAAAACATAAATTTCTTTTCTTTTTGAAGATAATAAGGTGAAGGAAAGAACAAATCTGGGTTAGTTTGGGATTGAAAGAGACTGAGAAATTTGATGACCAAGTAGATGAACTCACCTTGACCAATTCTGGCCTGTTCATCAAATTCTCTCTCTTTTCTTCTTCTTGGAAAAGAAAATATGGAGATGGGCAAAGGTAAAGAGACAAGTAGATAATTAATTTTGTGCGGATATTAAATTAAAAAGAGAGGAAACAATGAGACGTTTTTTCTTATATATCACCTTTTTTATTTAATTTTTTCTGTCAGACATCATTTAGATTATTATTTTTGATCTAATATCCTTAGCAGTAAGGCTCGTCCCCTACAGTACGCTTTACGCTGATCTGACGCTACGTGTGTAAAGCGTGGCCCTTGGGACGCGCCTTACGTCACGTAGGGTAATAGCGCGGGGAAGGGGTCGCGTCTGACCTTTAATTCAATTATATATAGTACGGGGAAGGGATCACGCCTTATCGGTGCAGGTACCGGGCCTTTTATAATTATAGCAACTTTTCTCGGCTATAAATACCTTTCTCCCCCGGTAAACTCTTCACATCTCCCCTCTCAACTTATAAATTAAAACAATTCCCTCAACGAGTCAATAATTCCGACAATCTTCTCATATTTGATTTAGAAGTTTGTGTGATTTTTCGTTATAAGATAATTTTGTTATAATTTTTTTTATTATACTTATTATTTATTATGATTATTTGAAAAAAAATATTATACTAATTGTTATATTTTCGTTCATATATTATTCATTTAATCATGTTTGTTTTAGTTGTTTTTTTTCAGATATAATATTGTCGTACTTTTAAACTCAAAGAATGACGCGACTTTAAACTATTGTTTATTATGATGGTGAAATTCGAGAAAATGAAACCGACGTTTTCGTATCAAATGAGCGTGTTAAAATATCATTTAAGAGAAACATAACTCTTGAGGAGCTGATAACGAAGATTTCGAGGAAGGTTCATGTTGGAAGTAATAAAATAATGTCTTCGTTGCAGTACAAATTTTCAACATCATTGTTGTCATTAACTTATACAGCGTTCGAACTTTCGAACAATGATGATGTTGAAGTGATGGTTGAATCTCAAAGTAATTATTCAGACGCCGATATTGAGATGTATACAAATTTTTTTCAAGTGCGTACTGCTCGGGGTCAGTCATTAAGCTCCCACTATGGGCTGGTTGAACAAATTGATCAAGTTGACTGCCCGACGATAGTAATGTGTAATGATTTTAATGACATAATGGGAGACATTCATCCGCAACTCCTTACGATATGTACCGAGGTGGGTCAACGAACAATCCGTATGGCAACATCGCGTGCAGTTCAAGGGGAAGACATTCATCTGCAAATCCCTTTGACCTTAATATGGAGATGCCATCGATGCAACAATCTGTGCATTATCCATTTGACACGATGGCTTCAAGCTCCACGGGGAGGCATCCGACTGCGAGCTTTTTCGATCTCAATGTCGATATGCCTTCCAGTTCAAGGGGAAGGCGTGCAAGTAGTAGGTTCTTCGACCTAAATGTGGAGAGCATGGAGGAACCATCATCTCCACCAGAAGAACTGCTTCGTGAGCCTGGTGCAGATGGTGCTGAGACTGGACTATTCATTCACCCAGAATCACCGCAATTCAACTCCGATGATGATGATGTAGATGAAGTTCCAGGAAATGTGGCACAAACTGACCCTCCTGCACACATGTATGAAGCTGATTATGGTGCAATGTACGGGCCAGAATTTGCGGATATGCCTTATCTCGGTGACTATGGATATTACTCATCAATAAATAATGGTGAGTTATCTTTAGGCATGGAGTTTTCAAGCAAAGAAGAAGCGATGATGGCTATCAAGAAGAATGATGAGCGTCAATTAATTGTGTGCAATGGTAAGTGAAACTGATGTAGTTTGTTTTCTTTCGATCATTTTATTTTTGCAAAGAAAGCAAGTTAGTAAGTTATACATTTTTGATCAGGTTACGAAATACTTCCTCGAACGTTTGAATCAATGCTTCAGGATTTGCGGGCGAAGAACGAGGAAAAGATACGATTACATCAGCCTCATCGAAAAAGAAATGTGGACGAACGCATATGATGGTGGATATCGATATGGACAGATGACGACTAACATGTCCACTTCTGTTGTCATCAAGTAACAATTGATGATGACATGATGTAGTTGTTTATCAAATAATAATTCTTATAATTTAATTTGCATTTACTTAAAGTTAATATCATTCGATAACCGTTGATGAACAATAAGAAAATGATACAAGAAAACGAGATTGAACGTTGGCGTTATATGTGATTAGAATAAAAGATAATAAGTGACAAATTGAAGAAAGTTTGAGAACACAATTATTAAATTTATAAAACTAATAACAATTTGGTATTTGAACATAATTTTAAATACAAAATACTTACAAAAAGTATTAAATGGTAAATGATAACCAAATAACAATAACTGATATTAAATGGTAATAAACAATTAACCAAAATACATTAACAAAACTGTATAAAAAATTTAACAAAATAAATTAAAATAAATTCAATCACATTAACAAAAAAAAATAAGTATTAAATGATAAATAATTAAAAAATTACAATAAAAAAGTCCAATAAACAACTAAATACAAATATAAAAAAAACAAAATCTATCGATGCATGCGACGCGAATGTGTTCCACAGGCCATGGCTGTCGGTCTCGAGGAGGATTTCTTCGTATCAGTGGTTGTGACTCCTGCTGTCATCATTATCACCATCGTCGTCATCGTCATCGTCATCGTCGTCGTGAGCAGCTACATTAGGTTAATAATGAACTGATGACGATGAAGCACCTCCATAGAATAAGAACCCTGGAGGTGTATGATTGACTATCCCATCGGCCTACGAAAACTGGGAAAACTCATAAAACCTAGACATCGTTGAGTGTGAAAAATGTACATGAGGTATTTGTGCTGCGGCCATGGGTGATGAGGTTGAACCCGCCAAAATGTAGGCATATGAACCCCAAGTCAGATCTGCAAACATAGCCCATAATATCCTCCATGAGGGGTCATAAAACTCTGTGACGGCGGCGACGATGGGGTCATAAAATCAGGTGACAGTGGTGGTGGCATCGGGTAAGGGAACGGCGATGGCGGCATCAAATATGGCTGCGGAAGGTAAGTCGCTGTAGACGGTGGCTGTTGTGAAGGTCATGCTGGTGCAGCTGAGGATGAACCGGAAGCACCTGCTCTCCGTCCACGAGTCGGGGGATGATGATACTGTATCGGTGAACGTCTTTGTCAATGTTACTGAAAGGTCCACCCTCGTGCATCCTCGGAAAGCAGAAACGGTTTCCCATTACTGTTGAACCACTCGTAATAACCGTCAGCAACCATCAAGAAGTCAGTAAAAATGGGCTCTCTGCAGGGAGGACGTCGATGTCAATCCTCCCACAGCACGACCCACTCGTGATGCCTCACCAGCCAATCCATATCGGTCTTGCCGTGTTTATCTGTGCTATGCAACTCGTCCATATTGTGAGGTGCTTCCGAAATTGGTTGAAAACAACCAAATTGCCGAAGCACGCGATCAGTGGAGTGCCACTCGACGATCGTATAACATATCAAAGGGACCATCGCCATTCAAACATCTAATGGGCCCCCTTAACTCAGGTGGGATCACCATCCTCACATCATCATTAGAATATGGACCCATTCAAACTAAAACAAATATATATAATTTTTATCAAAATAATAATCTAATTATACAACTATAATCGAAAATCAATTTTTAAACATTAAAAAACATACATGTGTGCCAGCCTTCTGATCGATTAACACCCTCATTTTTTTCTAAATCATCATGTAGTTCCTGATGATTTTTCCTATCAGTAGACCCCCTATTCAAGGAAAAAAAATATTATACACTGTATAAAATGATTAATATACGAAATCAGTTTTATAATTACCTTAATAGTAGTGAAAATACGAATGGGTTCTTAACAACGGGACATAAAAAGAGCAATCGATACCACGCCCAAGACTGCAGTAGCAGGAGACATCTGCCAATAGCATTTTTTCTGTAGTCAATCGCGCGACACATCTCCCTATACAGGAAAGCCAAAACTGCCGAGCCCCAACTGAGTGATCCGGCCAGACGAAAGTCACCAAGATGTCACAACCATATACAGTGAACTTGGTTGCGCAATTTGTCCGGCATTAGAACCCTCCTATCAGCTACAGTATGCATGCCCGTGCATATATTTGAACTTCATCATCAGAGGCGTCATCGCTCAACTCCCAAAAATTGGCATCTAACCAATTTAACGGTATTCGACCACCGTTAAAACTTTTCGGGACACGCCCTAGATAGTCCCGACACAAAGCAGTCCATGAACCGTGCGCCATCCCCGATATCACATCTCCATCTACCGGAAGCCCCAGGTGCATAGAAACATCCTTAAGTGTAACCGTGCACTCTCCGCACGGAAGATGGAATGTGTGGGTATCCGGCCTCTACCGCTCCACTAAGGCATCAATAAGGTCTAGTTCTATCTTACAGTGACCCTCATATCTACCTATGTGACCGATTCCAGCCTCTACTAAATACGACATGACACGGTCATGTATCACTAACTTAAGGTTCCTAATAAAATGATCTAATATACGGTCTCTCTCTTAAATATAAATAATTACAAAAATTAATTTTTAAACTAATAATCATGCATTAAATAAATAAATAAATAAATTATTACTATTAATTTAAATTAAATTAAAACGTTAAAATGTTACCGTATTAGCAAAATGTCGAGATATATGATTTCCATTCAAGCGAAGCAAACCGCCTTCCATTTTATATATGTAAAAAAATTAATTAAATACAATATTAAATAATTTAAATACTTAAATAAATTAAATATTAAATATAATAAAAGATGTCTTAAACAGATAATATAAAAGTATTTGAGAGAGGTTTAGAGAAGTTGAGATGATTTGGTATGATGAAAGTGATTGAGGATGGGGGTATTTATAGGGAGGGATGAGGTGTGAACGGTCGGGGTAGGTGGGTAATTAAACCTAAGGCGCGTCGTAGGGGGCGCGCCTTTCTGACGCGTGTCAGATTTACAGGTAAGGCGGGACGCTTGCACTGCGCTTTACACACGTATATCCAGCCAGCATAAGGCGCTTTTCAGGGGGCGCCTTACCTCATGTGCGTCAGATCAACGTAAAGTGTACTGCAGAGGACGTGTCTTACTACAAAGTGTGTTAGATTAAAAAAAAATAATTTAAGGGGTGTGACAAAAAAAATTAAAAGAAAAAGGTGATATATCGAAAAAAAGGCCAACAAATAAACTGAAAATTTATTAACAAATATTAATTAATCTGATTCTGATCTTTCGATTTAGTGACTATTTGACATAACTGACACCGTTTTTTTAAAATTTTCCCTTTCTGACACCGTTTGACCAATATTTCCAGAAGTAGCACCCTTTCTGCTGAGTTGGCAAAGGCGCGTCCCGGGGACGCGCTTTACCTGTGTTTTCGCTGAGTTGGATGCCACGTGTGGAAGGCGCATCCCCGGGGACGCGCCTTTGCCAACTCAGCAGACACGTATTTTGTTTAATAATAAATAGTTTATTTTTATTATTATTATAAATTAATAATATTATGTAAAATGTTTCGATTGTAATGTAAGAATTATCAAATGTATTTTGTTAATGTGTGTTAAAGGTGGAGTGAATTATCTACATTAATATGATATAACAATATATGAAAACCAGTTTTGACTTTATTGTAGTTATAGGAAAAATGTATGAAATTATAATATTACACATATGGTTATATATTATTTTGATTTTGATTATCGATCTATTAATTTTATCAGTTAATTATTTAAATGTTATCAATCTAGTCATCTCATATCAATATTTAACGAAAATATTGATGCATAAGTTAATAAATTAGTATAATTACATATTTAATCTTCAAGACTTACATATTTTATAAAATTAGTCTTATTGAAAATTTAATTTAATAAATTTAATCCTCCAATCAGAACATGAAATGTGTCATCGTATACATAAATTTTTTAATAACTTTTAATTTGTTTAATTTAATATTTTTCTCTACTTAGAAGGTGGAATTATTATTATATTTTAAAAAATTATAACTAATAATATTAATTATTATATTAAATAAATATATTAAATATATTATGTATTTAAAAGTTAAAAAAAATTATTTAGGAGTACATACATTGACAAATTATATAAATGCAATAACATTAAATTATTAGAAACAAAAACATTCATTTAAATACATATTAATTACATAAGAGTTAACGGTTATATGATGATAACAGAGCTGAACATTTTTTTCTATTGTGCCCGATGTTTTTACAATGCCCACATCGTTTTTGTTCTGTTGACTTCTCCCGAATATCCATATCACAATGTATTCTAGTAGATTTTAGACGATCTGAGTCCCTCAATAGCAATGGATCTGGTACAATTGTAAGCCAAGTTTGAATCTATTTGGGTCTCTTTCGTTTCCTATGGACGGAAACTCAAATTCATATACCTTGAATACTTGTGAAAGTTGGTATACGGGATCAACATAATTTTTGTAGTCCAAATGCGAATGTGAGCAAGCAGCAATGACATGAGAGCATGGATATTTGAGTGCTTGAAAGAAACCACAATCGCACCACCTCTCTTGCAGATTAACTCTGAAAGAGTTAGCTTCAATCCCTTGCAGGGGACGTGGCATTTCGGTTACATGAAACAATTCACGGGTGCGAGAAAAATTTGTAACTAACATCCCATTTGATGCAGCCACTTTTTTCTGTAAATCAACTACTAGTCTTGGGTGGTAAATATGTCCGTTTTGCATCCAAGTAAGAGCTTGTCCACCGAGCTTTGCAAAGAGTTGACCCAAACGAAAATAAGTCGTTTTAACCAACGCCGTGACTGGTAAATGACGCGCCCCCTTTAAGGTTGAATTTATTGCTTCAGCCAAGTTTGTTGTCATATGACCATAGCGATACCCCCCGTCATATGCATTTTTCCATATTTCTTTGATGTCCATAATGTACTCGCACCCCTTCTTATTTTTGCCAAACAGCTCTTGTAGCATCGACTCAAACCTTGAGGTAAGAGTTCGTAACCTAAGCCATTAGGAATATGTAATAGTTAATATGAAGTATAAATAAGTAATAAGAAATTGATAGAAAAATTGGGAAAAGTAACATACCCATCCGCACGACTAACTCACGTTCATGTTCTTCTTGTATTTTCCGTAATAGTTTGCATCAATATGACGGACACAATAACGATGTTGAACATGTGGAGGTATATACATTGTACCCAAAGAGTCCATTGCTGCTTTTATCCCGGCTCCTCGATCTGAAATAATGCATACTCGTTCCCTGGTGACAACATGTAAACGTAAATTTTTAAGGAAAAAAGCCCAAGACTCAGTGTCTTCTCCTTGAACGAGGGCAAATGCAACAGGAAGAATATTGCGGTTTCCATCTTGGACCACAGCCAATAATAAAACTTGCTTGTATTTCCCATACAAGAAAGTACCATCAATTTGGACAATTGGTTTACAGTACTTGACTGCATTAATACACTGAGGGTAAGTCCAAAAGACTCGGTAAAATTGGCAGCGATCGCGAACCATTCGATCATTCACGTAATGATGTTGAGTTTCGAACTCAACAATTGTCCCGGGATTAAGTCTTTGCACAACATGAAACCAACTGGGCAACTCGTTGTAAGTGGAATCCCATTCGCCATGAAGTTTGCAAATGGCATTCTGTTTTGCCAACCACGCTTTTTTATATGAGACAGTGTACCCATATTGTGACTGTATAGCAGAAATCAACACTGCAACAGCTATATGAGAGCTTTGCTTCACAATGGGCATGATTGCTTGACAAATAAGTTGGAGTCCAAGTTGGGATGATCCTGGTTTATACCTGTTGCACAACATGTATGAGGACCGTTGTATCTGGTTAGTTCCCATAAGTTGTTCTTCCTCTTCCTCTTTGATACACGGACCATCCATTGACATCCGTTGTCACGTTGGACGCAGTAGCAGATATATTTCTCCGTGTTAGATCGATCAACTCGGGACTGAACTGAGTTACGAATATTGTAACTCTTTATTGCCATCATTGCTTCCTCCTTCGATGCGAACTCCATTCTAATATGTAAATTACCGTCATTGACTGATGATTGAAGTCCATAGTTGCCAACATCAGGAAGATCTGGAAATTCAGGCTCATATATTGCATCATAATCAGCCTCATACATATGTGCAGGAAGTTCGGCTGGTGTTGTATTTATCGGAACGTCATCCTCGTCATCATCAGAATGTACGTTAAACTGTGGTGAGTCAGGTTCAACGAATAATCCCGTTTCAGCACCATCTGCACCTGGCTCCCGAAGAGGTTCTTCTGGTGGAGATGAGGGTTCCTCCGATAATCCAATGTTGAGGTCAAATAAGTTCCCGCTTGCGTGTCCTCCCCTTGAACTTGAGGTCATTGTATCATGTGGGATGTGAATAGACTGTCGTCTCGTTGGCATTTCCATATGTAAGTCGAAAACATTGGCAGATGAATGTCTGCCCCTTGAAGTAGAAGAGATGTTGCCATATGGATTATTGGTGAAGCCACGTGGGTTGAGATCATAAGCAGTTGCAGATGAATGCCTTCGTATTGAACTTGATGGCATGGTATATGGCGTTGGATCCGCCATTAATGATGTGAAATCATTACAGATCAGTTGTGTCGGGCTATCAACTTGATCAGTTTGATATGCAATGCCAAAGTGAGAGGAATATGAGAGACCACGAGTTGCACGAACCTCAATAAAAGTGGCATACATTTCAATAAGAGATTGTGAACTCCCCATATGAGCATCAACCATCATAGAAAATCATCATCGTTTGAAAGCTGAAATGATGTATACGTGAGCGGAAAAATTTCAGTAGGAAATCTGTACTGAAGTGAAGATAGTCTTCTCTGGCCTGCTACACGAATCTTTAACGAAATTTTTGTGATTAACTCCTCAATTGTGATGTTTCTCTTCAAGGTTAAGGGGATATAATGATCTGACTCAAAAACAACCCCCTCTTCAGCTTCCTTAATTTCTCCATCATACAAAACAACAGCAGAAAGACGACTCATTTTCAGAGAATTTGAGAATTTAGAGTTTGGGAATTTGAGAATTTGAAAGATTGTGAACTGAAGTTTGTTTTGAAAGTTTAAAATACGTTGCATATAATAGTGTCTATAATCGGAGTACTATTCACATAAAGGCGCGTTCCCAGGGGCGCGCCTTCCATTATTCGTCAGAGAATATGTT